TAGTAAACATCATTATCAAAGCACAACTTTTATTTATGTACAACAATTACATAACCATACTATCTACTACAATCAACAAAAATTAAAATATTTATATTTCTACAGATTCATCATCGATCACATGACTTGTTTCTCCTTCCGGGAGTGCAAAGTAATCAGCTACATCCAAATGCATTAAGTCTAAATTATCTTCAGAAATAAAATTTATTTCAGCATTTTTCTCTGTCTTCTTTAGGTAGGCTTGATAAAGCCCAACCAGGTGCTTTGGCGTACAGCAAGTACGTGACCAATGCCTTTTTTCTCCACATCTATAGCAAGCATTTTTTGCATTTGTTTCTTGCACCGCTTCATGCTTTTGTTCCTTCCTTTTCCACTACTGGTGGTGAGAATAGTTCTTTGGTGCATTATTATTACCATGATTAGAGTTTCTTCCCCGACCACGGCCATGACCACGACTGGGGCCACGACCTCTTCCACGCTTAGCTTGGTGGAAGTTCGTCTAATTCACTTCAGGGAATGGATAAGAATCAGTAGGTGGGCTTTCATGATTTTTCATTAATAGCCCATTATGTTGCTCGGCTATAAGAAGATGTGAGATAAGTTCATAATATTTTTTGAATCCCATCTCTCGATATTGCTGCTGCAGGAGCATATCGAGGCATGAAAAATGGTGAAAGTTTTCTCCAACATATCATGATCAGTAATATTATCACCACATAATTTTAATTGAGAAAACATTTTGAACATAGCAGAATTATACTCATTGATAGATTTAAAATCTTGTAACCTTAGATGAGTCCAATCATAACGTGTCTGTGGAAGAACGACCAACTTCAGATAGTCATATCTATCTTTCAAATTATTTTACAGTAGGACTGGATCTTTAACAGTGAGATATTCTATTTTCAAGCATTTATCAAGGTGATGGCTGATCTCGTCCAATTTCATTCCTTTATTTGAGGATATGAAAACGGTCGATGCAATAGTAATACCCATCAAAGAGTCGGGATCGATTTTCCATAGGGAGTTATGAATAGGTCTTAGGGATATATATATTATAGTGTATGAGTTTGAATTATCTCAAATTGCACTTCCACAAACTTGGGTTATTTATAGGTCTAATTTAAACTAATATTATAAACTAAGAATTTAAACTAGGAAAGTATTTTTGGTTGTTTTTCAAATGATATAAAAGGCATAGGGTTATGACTTTCACCTAGGTGTTCGCCTAATGAGTTGTAAACTTTAACGCTTGTTTTATTGGTCGGGGTATATTATAGCTATCAACACCCAAGTACTCACTCAATACCTCTCGGTCAGAGGGTTATTTTGTCCAATTTGGCTTTCTCAAGTCCAAATGGATATTGAACAAAATAATTGATGATAAGCTCAAGTCGGGCTTTACTATCTCTAGGTTCAACCCTTTAATTGGTCTTATCAATCTCTCGATTGACCCAATTTCTTGCTAACCAAGTTTTCCTAGACTAAGTCTCTCTTTATCAAGTAGAGACCAAGTCAAATAGGCATGAAATAATGTTTGCAACTACTAATTCTTCACATAAAAGCAAACACTAGGCTAGATAATCAACGCCCAACCATAAACAAACAATAAATCAAACACCCATTAAGTTTACACACTAGGGTTGGTTGACAACCCTAGTGAAAATCTAGCTACTCATGCTTAAATTGGAAGAAAAAGAAGAAGTGATAATTAAACCCATATTGATAATTAAAATAATGAATACAATATTCAAAAAGCTCAAAATAGCAAAAACTAATAAAAAAAAAAGTAAAAGAAAACGTTTATTGTAGCTGCTGATGTCAAAACTTGACCTAAAAAGTGAAACTCTTCTATTTATACAGTGCTGGAATTTTCGGACAAAAATGCCCTTTCGGAAGTTCTGCGGCTGCACAATTCCATGTGCGGTCCGCACTTTGCTTCAGGCTGACATGAATGGAAATCTGCGGCCGTATAATTCTGAATTGTGGCTGCACTTCTCTCTTCTGTAGTCCGCGCATTTCTGAGTGTGGTCACACAATGCTCTTCTGCGGACGGCACAAATGTGACTGCGGCCGCGTAGCTGTTCTTCTGCGGCCGCACAATAATTATGCGGTCCGCACTTCTGTTGAACTTGAGATACAAGTTCTCTGAACTTTTTCTCTTGCCCAGGTTCTGCGGCCGCACATGTCATGTGCGGACCGCACTTTGCACTTGTCTCTAATAGGAGTTTCTTCACAATCTGCGGTCCGCACTTCTGAGCTTCTGTGCCTGCTTGTGTCCTTGAGTTCAGATCGCTCCTTCTTGAGTTGCATTTCATCTTGGGGCTCATTTTCCACTATTCCTACAATTAAGAATATTTCATCAGTTTTTGGGAACACAATTAAACGTTTTTGGACTAAAACGAAAGCAAAAAGGTGCTAATAAATAGTCAAAATCCCCACTTATCAATGGCATAGGAATATCATTGCTTTGGCACAACCTTGATTTGATGCTTGATTTTTGTCCTTGATGGTGTCTGCCAGACCCATCGCATCAAGATGAATTTCAGCATCAAGCACCCAAGACATGTAGCTTTTGCCCGATATATTCAAGTTTAGAAAGATTTGACATTATTTAGAAAAAGAAAGTCTGTACCTCTAATACTTTTAAAGTATTTGCTCGAGATGGCAGAGTCTCGTATTGATAACGTGTTATAAAATAAAGACTGTAAAGTAAAGACAAGTATAGAGAGCAACTGATATATTATTCAATTTCAAAGTGATGTACATAATGAACTGAAATCTCCTCTTTTTATAGAAGAAAGGAAGCTGATGTGTAAGCTGCTACTGCAAGCCGATGTGTAAGCTGCTTCTGCAAGCTGTTGTGTAAGCTGTTGTGTAAGTTGTTTGTAAGTTGCTATTGTACCAGATATAGATAATCTTCTACCGTGGTAATATTTATCCATAATGGAGTACCGAAAGGATAAGCTCATTGTACCAGTTATAGATAATCTTCTACCGTGGGTAATATTTATCCATGACGGAGTACCAAAAGGATAAGCTTCTTCAGAAGGCTTATTTCCAATAGAGTACTAAATAGATAAACATATTTACGGCGGAGTCTCATATGGATAAGTTTTTTCAGGTAGCTTATTTACAACGGAGTACTAAATGAACATCCATAATATAATATATTTATAACACAAATTATCAATTTTCATTTTTGTGTACTACTGTTGTTTTAATTTATTTGAATTTTTTAGAGTATGAGGGTCAAATTAATTATTTTTTATGTAAAATTAAACATAGATGAGGGTCAAATTACTAATTTTTTATTTAAAATTAAATATAGATTCTTTAGGTTTTTAAAAATTAAATTTAAATATTAGAAAACTACATAAAATATACTATAAGTTACAATAATATTAATAATTCAAAATATTTAAAAACTACTAGCAAAAGATATCCTTAAAAAAAATTATTTGACTCCCAAATAATAAAAGGTTCGTTCTTTTTTAAATGGAAGGAGTATATGAAATTTACGATAAAGAATTGAATGTGAGACAGCAGGTACCCATGGAAATTAGTCAAAGTTCGTTCAAATTCGACTTGAACATCGATTATCTCTATTATATTAAAAGCACGAAGACCCTTAGCAAAATGTCGTTCGCCTTTTTTGCAATTTAAAAATAAATTTCACACTAGACGAAAGAGTAATTTAAGTTTTTCCCAAATTTTTAGGAATTTAAATTAACTAAAATTTAGTCCATATTAAATCCTTCCATGTTTTGAACTCCTATGCAATTAGTCATAATATATAGGGCTCACGTAAGAATGAAAATAATATTTCTATGAGAAAAAGAAAACATAGGCTCACCAAGATTACTATTTGCTCAGTTGACTAATAAAAGAAGAAAGATATCATCTTTGTGTCAAACGCATTGAACTTATAGACAAATTCTATTCTAAACGAATTGTCATTATTTCTTTTGCTAATTATTTCAACAAATGATAATTTTCTACAGTAAAAAATTCTTTAGCGAAATATCTTTCGTTTTTTTTACCCTTTAAAAATAGCTTTCATATTGAACAAAATAGTATTAAATTATTTCTCTTAAATTTAGAAATTTAAAATAAACTAAAATTTTGCATATTAAATCCTTTTATATTTGAACTTGTATGCAATAGTCATAATATACAAGGGTCACGCATGCTATAAGCATGAAGAACCAAAATAAAATATTTCCTTTTATGAGAAAAAGAAAACTTAAGGCTCAGCAAGATAAATTGCTTCGTTGACCAATGAAAGAAGAAAGATATCATCGTTTGTGTCCTAATTTTAATAAACAAATATATTCAACTTATAGACAACATTAGTAATTTTATTACTTATCAATTTTTTTATGAGCTATAAGCCAACATCTTTATTCCCAAAAGACTAAATTTATTTTATTTGAGAAATCTTATTGTCTCATAAAGTCCTCATAAATCACAATTATGTATATGAGGACTTCTATGGCCAAGATTTCATCGCTAAATGGGATCAACTTTCGTCTTTTTAGCAGCTTATATTTTTTTAATTTTTATTTTACAAGCCAATCACATTATTACACGGGCAAAGCGCTTACCCAAAAAGTAGTATCAAAAAAAGAGTATACACTAAGGTGACAACCAACCAATCATATCCGGTAATGATCTCAATAATTTCAACTAAAGCGACAAAAGATAAAGAGATCTTTATTGTTTGCTTTTTACAACCTAAAAATAACTTCGTCAGATCACTAGTAGATCTAAACTGGCAACCGAAAAATTCAGAAGTAATTACTATTGTATTGGTAAGAAATGGACTTACCATATCAACAAATCAAATCTTAACACGTGTTGAATGTTATCAGATTATATTAGAAGGTCGTAGAAAAATATTAGGGGAACGCAATTAAATTGATTTGTATAAAACAAATTTAAACGATGGTCTATAAATAGCTTAAATGCAGGGACAAAGTTAGCATGGGAAGAACAGGTTAGACAAAACTCAATAACTTTGATCCATATCATATATATTAGTTGAGAAATTCACTTACATATAATAAATTTCAGAACTCATTACTTTCAAATAAGCTTAAATAAACTTTTCAATTTCAATGCATATTATTACTAAATAAGATTACATTTGTCTTTCCTCTCTCTACTTCTTCTTCTTCGTAGGGTTCATACTCCGTGTATTATTGATTAACACGATCTTCCACATAGATAACAAACAACGGCTACGATCAATACCAATATGACCAAAGGCAATGAAATGACAATTACATCCATCTTCTCTGTACAATCAAAGGGCACAAGAAAATGGAAAAATATATTAGAAATAAGGAGGAAATTTTTGAAAAATGCAAAACAAATCCTCTTGAATGTAGTTGTTAAATTTAGCCCATAAAAATTAATGTATCTAATATTTTTTTAATGCTAGGTACATGTTCATTGGCAAATTAATTTGAGAAATTCCAAATTAACCCATCCAAAAGCTTAGACCAATTTGGGCTCATATTTATCATAACATTAAAAAGTAAGATTTTTTGGTTTGATTTGTTTGATATAGTCATAATAGAGATACTCCTTCCATCTTATTTTATACTTGACTATTGTGCATAAAGCTGAAGAAAGAAATGAAAAAAAGCTTTAACATTTATAGTCTAAAACAAGTCATAAAAATTAATATAACTATAATAATCCCGTAAAAGGTAAAATAAAGAATTTAAAATTAAATTATTTCTAAATATAAAAAGATATACTTTATTTTTAAATATTACTAATAAGAAAAGTATATCAAATAATATTGTACGCACTTTCTTGAACAGATCAAACTCGAAATTATTGGAAGAATTTATCGCACAAGCTTCTTCTAGTTTGTGGGGGAGTATGTATATAAAAGTCAGTTTGGTATTTGAATATCTTTTGTATCATTGATCTGATGAATTATATAAATTGGGACAGATGAGTTTTATAAGAAACAGTGATTTTTCATAGACCAAGAAGGAAGGGATATTTTCACATACCTTTTGTGGAGCAAAACTACTTGGATTGGATTTCCCCTTTAGTTCTGACCAAACAAAAACAAAAACTCATATCATATGTACAGAGAGGGAAGAGAGAGTTTGAGAAGCTTCCCCTTTTTATGGTGTTTTCAAGAAGCTTCTTTTTGCATAAAGATAGGAGAAGTGGAGAGTGATTAAGCAAACAGAAAAAAAGAGGAGATAAAACCATACACGGTTCAACTTAATGGGTTTAACTTTGCACGCGACCAATTATACTATTTAAAATTATGGGTTCAAATTTAATATTTATTTAAATTTTATATATATAAATATATCTGTCGAAAGTTATTGATTCAAATGATCTCACGTGCATATACAACTGGACGTGATTTGCTCCTTGTTAATCCCGTTATTCCATTCCATGTGATATACTTTTTTTTGTATATAAATAAAAAATGGGACAATTTAATTTTAACAATCCCAATTTATCCTCACTAATAATCAATTATTACTAGAAGTTGTACCACTACTAATTTAAAATGGAAAAAATATTCTGAACTCTCACGACCACTCATTTAAAAGGATACTTTTGATAATTTGCATATATTTGACTTACATCTCGCGAGTCCTCTTTAATTTCTAAAACATTTACTCCAAAAAGAAAAAGAAAAAGAAACCCCAATTCATGTTTGCTTTTCACAACCTAAGCATGTCGTCAGGAACACGAGTGCGTCTACCTTTTGACTTGAGAGTTGAGAGTGATAATTGTAATGTCCAAATCAACCAGCCAATTATTCTTGGTATCAAATTTATTGACAAATTGACCAACCAAAGACGAAAAGAAATCAAGATTTTTAAGATAACTGATTGAGCTGGCAACAAAATGCTGCAAAAATAACAAAAAATCCAGGTTTGATTGGAATATGATTATCCTTTTCCCTGTCAATCATTCATACGCTTTACCGCGTTTTACATACTACTGATTACTGAATTCTGCTCTGGCTCTGCAATTTAACTAATACTAGTAAGATTTTGACTAACTGTAACTGGGAGCATCAAATTGACGTACTTAAACATGGCAGCAAATTCCATCTGCAGCAACTAATATTTTTCCAACCACATAAATACCAAGTACTCCTAATATAATAAGCTTTTGAACTAAAAGTAACTCAGTCAAGTCTAAGTTTCAACTATGTAAAAAGGGAGAAAACTGCAATTTTGCAATAACATCTTTTCCCGCCTTTTTATCCCCGTTTCATTTTATCGCTGCAGTTTTACATAACCTCGTTACAACTTATCCTATTTGTATACAAGATTTGAGGTACAAGGGTGTTGGTGAATATAAGCTGCAAGATTCAAATACACATGAGAAATACAAGGGAGGGAGAGGGAAAGAACAGTACAGAGAGAGAGAGAGAGAGAGAGGAGCAAATTCATAGCAACTAAGCACAAGTCTAAAAGTGGTAATCACCGGTCAGCTGCTATGAACCAAGAAACAAGTGTTACAAGCTGAAAGGGGCTGCTGAAGGTGACATTACTTTGCGCGGTCCAGCTCCACCGGCCTCCTGGTTTCCTACTGGCTTATTAGATAGTCGACGTTTATAGCGTTTGAGGACAGATGCCAAGTTTTCTTTCCCTTTAGGAAAAGCAACATCCCCTGCAGCAGTGCCTGTTCGTCCCTTTCGACAAGAGATTGCCATCTCCACGTCTTTGATCATATCTAAGAGCATCGGTGCAGTTGTGCATTTTCCTCGCCCCTGTTTTGCTTGTGGTGGCAGACTTCCATTTGAAATTGGAGGGGGGCTTGATTTTTGCTGCCGACCAATTGGAATTTGAAGACAAAAACAATGACTAGTCGGAGAACGGGGCTTGGAAAATGCCAGATCTATTATGCCCTGGAGTAGGTAAATGTTTCATTAGATGCATAACAAGATCAAGAAATCCCCGAAGACCAGTGGCACAAATAAGACATTTATTAATGTAACACATTTCCCAAGACCAACTTAATTAGAGCACCTCATATAGTTACGAGAAATGATATGTCAATCAAACAAGATACCCCAAGAGTAAAGCAGTTTTTTCAGTATGAGCGTAAAGCAATCACAAAGTTATTGACTAAATACATCTAAATATTTCGTTCTATGGAGAAATGGGAGGTCGGTTTTCAACGGTGTCTTTCAAATTCTTTTACCGCTTGTTTCTTTCAAGAAACAAGAAGTTAACCTTAAATTACACCAAAGAGCATGTTTCATTTCCAGATGCTTAAAGTTTCCTTTTCAATATAAAATAATTGGAAAAAGAATCAAAAAAATAGAAAACTTACCCACTTGACTGGATAAAAGTTACTTAACACAGCCAAAGTGTCAATAAAATGAGAAATGAAAAAGCATGAAATATGAGGGTTTACCTGAAGACGGTTGAGAACGTAGGTATATTTGCCCCACAGCTCTGGCCTACTTTCCATAAGTGAAAGCTCGAGAATTCTGTGAATGCACCATACACCGAAGCTAACAATGAGATCTACTTTCCAAACACAACCTTCCCCACAGTGAGGAACTGACATCACCAAGAACTTGGTGTAATCCATCTCTTCAGGTTTTGGGGCAGAACCAGAACCAGGTTTCCTGTTGGAAGAGAAGTGTGATTCGCCAATGTTGGTCAATCTACTTATCTCCCTAGTTTCAGCCTCATAGAGAAATTTCTCTCTTGCAGCAATCCGATCAATAAGATCCTCGTCAGCCCCATCATCTTGCCTAAATAACCACTCAGATCCTTCGAGTTTCAAAAGTTTGACGATACAACTTCTGAAAGATTGAAGCAGCTTAGCTTCCAAGTCGACCGTAGATGTGCTCTCTTGAGTAGATGAACTCTGCACAGTTCCATGATCACTGCTAGCAGCAACATCCGTCTTACCAGCTACACCAAATTGCTCAAAAGGCTGTCTAGACCACAGCGATCCAGATCCAGATCCAGTCCCTGAATTGGAGGAGCTATACTGCAACGAGAAAGCATCTCTACAGACTTTAGATGGCGAATGTTCAAATCTCTGAGGACCACCTGCCCTAAGTGAACCAGTCATATAGGCTTGTTCGTACGTCGATCGACCAACAGATGGTCCATATACCATGGAATTGTACCATTGAGCTCTCCCATCCGAGAGTGAAGAATCTTGGCGAGGAACATAGCGTCCTGATATATCAGGCAAGCTGTAATACTTCTTCGAGTTGGCTGTGCCAGCAACGGTCTCGGCATTTTCAGTAGAGCTAAGGTCAGTGAGAGTGTTAACAGGCTGCATGGAATTATTCCGGGCTACAGGGACATTTCCAAAACCAGGTGGCGCTCGACTACTCACTCCACTCTGAGGTTTTTGTCCCAAAGCACGAGCAAATGGTTCAGCATAGTTTGACGACATTGATGATGACACAGAACGAGGAGATGGTGACTCCAGTTGCCCATTTAAGTAGTCAGATCCTCTTTCTTTAGCAATTTGATTAAGGTAAGCAGTAATCTGATATCCATGCACAGTAGCAGGCTGCTGATCATAGCCAGCAGAAGATGCCGGAATCCGCATACTGGAATAGCGCCTCTCACCTGAGTCAAGTATGTTGCTGTTGGAACTTTGCACATACGCATCTAATAATTTCATATGGCTAGACCATGAAGATGGCTCCTTGGGGATTCTATAAGCAGAGTCCACATTGCCCGATGCAAATTGCTGCTTCGAAGAGTATATATTCGAGTTGATCAAAGACTCAGGTACCCTTGCACTCCCAGATGGAATATACACATTATTAAAATCACTCCTGCTGCTCTCCATTTTTAATGACGCAGGGGCAGGTTTTGGGTCCACCTTTGAATCCAGACCAAGTATTATATCCAGTTTCTTGGACTTTGCTTGTGGTGTGGCCACCCCATGGTAATCAAAGAGCTGCCCCCAAAACTCATCTAGAACTATTGTTAACTGCCTCCTAGCTGCACGACCAAGACCTGCTAATCTTGATAGACTTCCGGTACCACTCCCTGTGTCCTCTTTGCCACTAAGACTCTTGAATGATCCCGGACCATCAGAAATAAAAGATTGGGTGTTGTTCTCAGATACTCCTTTATCGGGCTCCCACGAATCTCCTTCATCATCCTTGTCATTGGCCATGTCCCCTTCAATTCTGAGTGTCTTCTCTACGACATCCACAGATTCATCGGTGGTACTGAAGACGCTGGTATCCACAGATTCAACACCAGACACCTCATTACAAACACTTTTTGCTGCGGCAGTTTCTCCTGCTGGTGCAGATACTTCAGGATGACTGAGAGGAGCTGAAAATGTTGTTTCAGTTTTGCTCTCATCAATAGTAGCCAAGTGAGGGTCCTTCTCATAATCCAAGAGTGACTCCGGCAAGATTTGATCAGGAATTGGAGTTGATAGATCTGGATGGCCAACCAAGGATTTTTCCGCATGAAATACAGCTTCTTGCTTTTGAGCAGACCTTTCTAGACCAAAGGTAGAATCACTCGTATCAAGTTGATTACGCTCCAGATATGACTCGGGCATAGGTGAATGCAGAAATGCCTGAGCATCAAACCTGGAACTTGCAGATTTCAGTGGAGTAACTGCTAACCACAGCATCAGACAAAGAGATAAAGAGGCCGCAATGAGGAGAAAAACATATGGTATAGACACACTACTCCCAATATTCCACTTCAAATTATTAACCCAATCACTATTTCCAAATATCATCTCTATGACAAATATAAGCTTTAGGCCAAGTAAGCCGATAAATGTGCCAAGAGATAAAAACTCCATTAACTGAGAAATTTTGTGGATACCCATTATTGATCTGGAAGAAGCAACTCTGAACAGGGGTATGACAGAAGACGGAAGCACAAGAGCAACCACAACCTGCGTGAATATTAGTAGCTGATATAGNAACAAGAGCAACCACAACCTGTGTGAATATTAGTAGCTGATATAGGCCTTCCGCTCCTGAATTCCATACACAATAAAGGGCCGGAACAATAGAAATTACTCTAATTGTCACATGGTGTAGCCAGCCTGGGATATCCATTCCAAATAAGTCATGCACAACTGGTTGTCTACCAAGATCCCAATTTAGTGCTGTAATCTGATTGGAAATAAACGTAACCAGCATTATGGTGAATGGTGCTACTGAACTTCTGAACACCTGTGTCAATATTCAAAAACTTGTTACATTTAA